CTTTCGGCCCAACCGGAGCCCCAGGATATTTTCAATACTTTATGCAAGATATCCTGGTGGGGCGTATTGGGAAGGACACGGCGGTTTTCCTAGATGACATCATGATTTATACCAAGAAAGGCGAACCCCATGCACCTATAGTTGACATTGTCCTGGATATTTTGGGAAAGCATCAGCTATGGTTGAAGCCAGAGAAGTGCAAATTCTCCAAATCCAAAGTCGAATACCTTGGTTTATTGATTTCACACAATAAAATCAAGATGGATCCAACGAAAGTTCGAGCAGTGTCAGATTGGCCAGAACCCCGTAACGTCTCTGAATTACAACATTTTATTGGGTTCGCAAACTTCTACCGCAGATTCATCAATCAATTCTCAAAGACCACACGACCCCTACATGATTTAACGAAGAATAACACTCAATTCAAGTGGGACGAACGCTGCAAGAAGGCATTTGACAGTCTGAAATTGTCATTCACATCAGCTCCAGTTCTAAAGATCGCGGATCCCTATAAAGCTTTCATACTTGAGTGTGATTGCTCAGACTTTGCGCTAGGGGCGGTGTTATCTCAACGTTGCGACAAAGATGGCGAAATACACCCTGTAGCCTACCTATCGAGATCATTAGCACAAGCGGAACGGAACTACGAGATCTTCGACAAGGAATTGTTAGCCATAGTAGCTTCCTTCAAGGAATGGAGACATTACCTCGAAGGAAACCCCAACAGACTCGACGTGATAGTCTACATCGACCACAGAAACCTGGAATCTTTCATGACAACCAAGCAATTGACAAGGCGACAGGCTCGGTGGGCGGAAACACTAGGATGCTTCGACTTCACCATTAAATTCAGACCAGGACGACAGAGCACTAAACCCGATGCATTATCACGACGACCAGACTTAGCTCCTACGCAAGAAGATAAATTAACTTTTGGCCGACTAATTAGACCAGAGAACCTATCATCCGACTCGTTTATCAAGATTGATAGCATAGAATGTTTCTTTGAAGACAAGACTATTGAATTAGAAAACGCTGAAAAATGGTTTGAAGTCGACGTGTTGGGAATCAGTGAAGAAGAAGACTTAAGCAACTCAGTAGCACAGGAGGATGAAACTCATTCAGACATGGAAATCATTGATTGCATTAGGAACTCAACAAAGAACTGCGATAGATTACAAAAGATCATATCCACAGTACACAATCCAGCATCGTCAAAGGTGAAAGAAGCAGTCAGCAGATACAGCGTCAAGAATGGACTATTATACAACAAACATCATATCGAAGTCCCCAACGATAACTCACTGAAGCTCAAGATTCTCAAAAGCCGACATGACAGCTTACTCACAGGACATCCTGGAAGATCAAAAACGCTGGGCCTTGTCAGACGATGTTTCAACTGGCCGTCAATCAAATCGTATGTCAATAAGTATGTAGACGGATGTGACTCATGCTTAAGGGTGAAAAGTATACACCAGAAGCCCTTTGGTTCGCTAGAACCTCTACCAATACTGGCAGGACCATGGACAGATATCAGCTACGATTTGATCACAAAGCTACCTACATCTAACGGGTATGATAGTATACTGACCGTAGTCGATAGACTGACGAAAATGTCGCATTTCATACCCTGTAGAGAAAGTATGTCATCGGAGGAGCTCGCGGATATCATGGTCAAGGACGTCTGGCGACTACACGGGACCCCAAAGACCATTGTATCCGACAGAGGAGGTGTCTTCATTTCACAAATGATCAAAGAACTGAACAAACGCTTAGGAATCCGCATACAACCCTCAACAGCCTTCCATCCAAGAACAGACGGACAATCTGAAATAGTCAACAAAACTATAGAGCAGTACTTACGTCATTTTGTCTCATACCGTCAGGATAACTGGAGCGACTTAATCCCTACTGCTGAATTTGCTTACAATAACAGAGATCACGCTTCCACAGGTGTATCACCCTTTAAGGCAAACTTTGGGTACAACGCAAACTTTGGAGGTATACCTTTGGGCGAGCAATGTATACCTGCGGTAGAGGAAAGACTCAAGATCCTGGAGGAAGTTCAGACCGAATTGAAGGAATGTTTGGAAGCATCACAAGAAGAGATGAAGGTTCAATTCGACAAAGGCGTAAGAGATACACCAACATGGCAAGTAGGCGATCAGGTTTGGCTCAGTAATAAAAATATAGCAACAACAAGGCCAAGTCCAAAATTAGAACATCGCTGGCTAGGTCCTTTTTCTATCATTGAAGTAAATTCACGATCAACTTACAAATTGGACCTACCCGCAGCACTAAGAGGCGTACACCCAGTATTCCATGTATCACTCCTACAAAAACACAACCCAGACGAAATCAAAGGAAGAAAATTGAAGGAACCCAGCGCAGTTTTCATAGAAGGAAACGAAGAATGGGAAGTCAATGAAATACTCGACTGTAGAATCAGAAACAGAAGTCGTGAGTACTTGATCAATTGGAAGGGTTTTAGCACTGAAAACAATTCGTGGGAGCCAGTAGGGAATTTGAAAAACAGTAAAGATTTAGTTAAACAATTCGACAAGAAATTTCCCAACGCCGCACTCAAGTACAAGAAGAGAAGGAGGAAGTAGAGAGAGGGCTAAGCTTTTTCCCACGAGGTTTTTTAACGCTGCCCGTGGAAAGAATGCAGACTTGCAAGAGGAAGTTGGGCATAAAAGGGGGAATAATGTTATGATCCTACAGTTGTAACTTACGTGACACTTGTACTTACATGTCACAGAGGGGGATGATGATCTGGAGGACACGGCCTGTATGGCTTGATTCCTCATCCGACAATCTAACTACATTACCGGAATCCCCTTGGACCCTGTTCCTCTCCCTCGCCAACGAGCCCCTGTGACGGTCATAACATCTCACCTGAACAAGTGTCTTCTGCTGGTTTGTATTCCTCCACTAGAGTCAGAGCCATGCAAATGGCAGGAAATCATCCTCAAAAAGTGGTCATGATATTGTGAAGAGGCAGTGTCTTCAGTCAAAGAGCTGCCAAACCCCATCCAACAACAAGTTCCAGCTTGGGCAGAAGCAAAATATGTGCATTGGGAACTCCAGCAATAATCAGAATTGAGGCAAATGCTTGGTGAATTGCCAATGCATTTCATTTGCCATCATTATGTTATTGGAACCTGAGTTGCTAGTCTGACTGAGCATCTAATATTCACAACAATATACAACACCAGAATCAATCAAGTGAATGAAAACCTATAAAATGAAAGGTTTAATATCCTTATCTTATCCACAAGGTTGTGCTTGATCAGTACATTGGCCAAAGGCTCAGCCAGCCAGAAACCTTGGTGCTCCCATGCAGCTACCTTAGGCTTGATCCTGAGGTGACAAGAACAATATTTATATGTTAGATTGATATATTTCATGTTGGCACTGATGAAGCCATGTTCCACATGTTGTGCTGCATATGGAATTTGATGTTCAGCCCGTGGTAGATATTCCATTAGCTTCCAAAAAACAAATGAAGAGGATTAGTTCAAGCCTTGAGTTTGTTAACAACTTGAGCCTTCATCAACAAATTAAGATGTTTGGCCTCAAGGGCATACTAATGCCTTCCAAATAGTCTTGATTCAGGTGACAGATGATTGACACAGGTGCAAAGCCACAGATCTTCACAATGCAACCATGGCAAAGATTAACAGACCTGTACTGTACTTAAGATTTAAATCTTGTATATCTTCAAGCTTTGTTGATATACAAAGAAATCAAATCTGGTATTATGTTCTGTAATATCTTTTTCCACATTTTTTCCCAACATCCTTTCTCTATGGTAGGTATTTCTATATGCAATTGCTGATTGTAAATGGAGGTCTGATTTTCTGAAGTTTTAAAATTTTTAACACAATCATGGGTGTAAGCTGTTTCATCATAAGTCATACTTGACAAGATTTGAATTGAGGTATTTGATTATTTGGTGATTATTTTGAAGGGATGAGCTTTCTTTGATGTTAAAAATGTGATTCAAGACAGAAATTTGATCTTTGAAATCTTACAAATCTCATCCTCAATATTATGAACAACATGAAAATGATAATGAACTGATTCAATTTTGATTGACAAAACTCAGACTTGACTTGGTGTATGAAGAATGTTTCCAAGGACAAGATAAAGTAAGAAACCTTAACTAAAAGGTTTTATGAATCAGGCATTCTGATTTAACTTGGAAATACTGATTTCAATAGGTGATTTTGATATTTAAACGAGTGAGATTGCTCAAAGGCATATTTTTCTTGAACTAACATTATATATTAACTTTTGAGCGGTTGATTGACGTAACTTAAACTACCAACATAAAGCAATTTCCCCACAGAAAAGTGGATCACATTTAATAATCAAGAATGCCGATCTACTGCTGATCCAATACATTTTTAAAATTGCTTTTGTTGGTAGTGTTATCTTGCAGATGCTGAATCAATTTTTGAGGTGAAATTCAACATCTATGTTCAAGTCAATAGATGTTTCAAGGAACTGGACACGTGAGGCCGTGACTGTTCTGCAAAGTATGGAAAATGTAAGGATGTATGTACATTTTTGTAGGTCAAGAAACCTTGAGCTCAAAAGCCCCTGATGAGCATGCCTTTACCCTTGCACGGGATAGACACATAGACAGTATGATTGCGGAATGTTTGGTCTGTTGTGGGTTTGATGTTTTATATTGGACGATATTGTTTGATAATGTACAGTATGTACAAACATTGAACTCGAGTAACAACGCCAATGATGATGTCTGCTTTCTTCAGAAGATATATCTGTTATGATGATAAATGAATGAATTGTGCCATAGAGTGAATCAAACAGGGTTATGGTAGGTTCAAATCTTGGTCAAAAAAGAGGAAGATCAACAACTAAAGTTAAGAAAATTAATCTAAGATTTAATAAAAAAAGAAGAAAATTATACATCCAATGAATTGGTGAGTGAAGTTCTATGTATGTCAAGAAAGGACAAACAAGTTTTTTCATCTGAATAATACAATATATGACAACACTGTTGTAAAGCTACAAATGAACATCAAATAATTTGATGATATCATGATAGAATTTGAATTTGAACTCATATTGGTATTTGAACCGGTTGAAGGAGATGTAGGGCTTGAAACAGTAGGAGGAGCAGTTGCCCAAACTATTTGAGTACTTGTACTTAGTTCTGGAGGTGTTTCTACAGGTGTGGGTGATGATTCTGGTGGATTTACTGTGACGACCACTGTGGCTTGAGCAATTACTTCGGAGCTGTTATAAGATTGACTACTACCACTACTAGGAGCTGAAGTGGGATAAGGTATATAATCCGAATCACTTTTTGTAGCCGTCAGAATTGACAAAGTGGTTGTCGGTACAGATATGGTCTAAAACACAACGCGTCGCCGTCAGTCAACAATTGTAAGGTAGGAATTTTCCAAGACAGGAAAGTCGGGTTCTCACCATATTAGCACCAAATCCTGGAAAAGCACTAAGTCCTTGACCGAAACTGTCTGAAATCGAAGATGCTTGAGTGACTGGTGCAGTAAGTAATCCAGTAGTAACCAATGGTCCTGAAAGAATAGGTGGTAGGCCATGAAAAGTGTCACGCGATAATCCAGAATCCAATGACCTCGTAGTTTGATTGTAGGCTTCTGTTGAATTATCTGTTGAATTATGAGTTTTACTTTGATGATTAAGTTGATCATGTGATGATCTTTTTGAAACAAATCTATTGGTAGACAAAGCGGTAGCCAGTAGTATGTTTAAAAAGACTCCAAGGATAATGATCTTGGGTCTCTGTGTCTCAACTCTAGCCATATTGAAAGTTTTGTAGTCCAAGATGATGGTAGTCCGTTGCAAGAGGATGAATAGATGAGCAAAGATTCTAGTCGATTAGGAGGTTTACAATACTATCTAGTCGATCAAAACGATGAAAATGCGATCCGAGCGCTTTGGCAAGAGAAGGAATCCACGAATGAAAGGGAATGTAAAATTGATCACCCAGAATCAGATAGGTGGTAGAAAACGTTGGCTGGTCGGTGTGAGATCCGCCAGTGAGAATTCAAAGAAATTGTTCAATTGGTTGATTGGTGGTCCTTGATAGAGGAAAAGAAAGGAGAAAAACACATGTCAGCCACGTTTTCAAAAATCTCCACTCATTAAAGGTTGAGCAAAGGTAACACTAATGAAGCTTAGGCTTAGTGAATAGGGAAACGAGATAATGAAACACGATGGCCAGGCGGGGAATGCAAGCGATTGTTAGAAAAATGACTCGTTGCCTCCATCGTGGCGATTAAAGATTGGTGAGGATGGATTAGATTCATACCTATGATCACGACTGACACGACTGATCAGGTGTGACTTCAAGTTCTGAAGTTTCAAATAAGTATGTAATCCGAAAATGTGTTTGATGAAGAAGGGTCAAGAGTGTTGGGATTTCTCTATAAGAGAGAGAAAGAAGAGTAGATAGAAGTAGAACTAAATGGAGTTGCCTGATCCGGAAAGAATCAATGATAGAAAAAACTCTGCGTGAAAAAGCTTAAATGCTTTGCCTGCCCCTGGATGTTGTGATAATCAAGCGATAGGATGGTAGATATTAAAGCATACAAAGAATCAAGTTTCGGGAAAGATGAAAGATACATAGCTTGTAAGAAAGCATCATCATCATCATACATGCGAGGCTTCAATGTCTTGATCACAATTATGAATTGTACATGACTTGCTGCAGGTTGGAAGAAAATTTAATTCACTTGTTCCAATTAATGGATGACAAGGATATTCAATATGAGAAGAATAAAAAAAGTGATATTATTTGAAACATGTAAAGAAGATGAAATTAAGCTTACAATCAAGTTCCTTTTGATGTTTCCTCTATGATAAGGTTGGAAAAAGGCTAACTCTTATCAGTCGAAAACAAAATGTGAAGAAGTTAAAAGGGATGAAATTGATTTGAGTTTAACAAAACCGAGAATAAGTTTCAAAGGACTATTCCAACGATATTCCCATGCAGTTTGAAGTGCTTCAATTCTTGCTTTGCTTTCTTTTCAAGTTTAGATATCTCTTCAGTCAGAGTAAGTGTTCCAATGACAAAGTAATCGATCTACTACTTTATCAAAAAGATTAGTACAGAAGTTTATCGCTTAAAAGCTCAAGGGATGACGAACTAGTATAATCTACACTTCAACGCTTGAAAGTCAACTGAATGTTCTTCGCCTCACCTGTATCATCAACCGAGTCTGCCTGCCTTCTAATCCAACGTTTTTCTACCCCTTGACAGGCGCTTGTGAACGAAACAAAAAACTGAAGCACGTAGCAAATGGATTTAAGTAATGGACTAAGATATGATCTTATGATAAATTGAGTTTGTGGTCCAGCGACCGCGTAATCATATAAAATTTCGATAGTGGGATGCTTGTTGTGTAGTATGAAGTGAGTGATGGATAAGTTGATGATGTGAGTGAAATATGATATAAATTGACCGTAACAAATGGGAATCGGATGCGATCAAGAAAAACTCGATAAGTTCTTTCTTGGGGCTTGACCGTCATTCATGAAACAATTAATAAAAAAATATTATCAAGAGATTTTAAACCAGTCTCTAAAAAAGATTGAATGATCGGTGAACACAAGAAGTGAATACTTGAACTGAAGCATCCATGTAAACCAACTAGACTAGACTTATGATCTCTTGCTCAGAAACCAAAATTAATTCCTCATCTCTGCTCGATTGGGAGGATAGTTTGAGGATTGAACGACGTTAATGCTAAAGATTAACTTTCAAGTCGCTTTAAAAAATTGACACACAAATGTTAGAGTTGGCAAAACATGAGGCGATTGCCTTCGAAGCTTCAAGGCAAGCAGTATGCAGCAAGTATCGAAAGCTGCACTCGATAGACAAAAAGGAATTCCGAATACGGGAATCGAACCCGTCTGTCCCGCGCGCTTCGATTAGCAGATTGAAAGGCGGAAATGCTAGCTGATACACCAATTCGGATTACACCGTGGACAAAAGCCCGTCGCATCCGGGTTTGCGACGACAGGACGCTTCACACGGGGTGTAGCGACATGTGTATGCTACATAGCCAAAACTGACATGCGACCGTCTGACATGTACTGCGACAGGATCCTCGAAGGTGCGACAGGTTGTGAACAGGTTGCGACAGCGGCCGATTTCGCCTTTGCGGTGCGACATCAAGCCACTTCCATACGCCACTCAGTCTCAGCTCTCCTACCCACTCCTCAATGCCCGTAAACCTCACCACTAGGCCAAAGATGAGCAATGAAGGCTACATGCGCATGTTTTTTCTTAAGACAGATTGAAGATGCTCAAATGTTTGGTAAGTTGTGTAAAGAAGCCGATATACCGCTGTGATTGGAACGAGTCAACTTTTAGTGTGATCAATGGACTCATATGGGGACTTTTGTATACAGACCGACCAATGAGAAGCATGATCATAAGGCATGCCAATCTATTGATTCAAAAAGGTTTCAAAGACACCTTGGGCTCTCATGTTTTGCTACCCAAATGATACTAAACCATCCACGAGTGCACTCTGATTGATTATATTCATACAGATTGAGTGTGATCTGGCCCATCATGTTCAGCATTTAGATAGGTTTAGTTATCCAAAATATCAATGTGTAGCTTGTCTTTTGAAGAAAATGGAGAACTTGAGTCGGTACTGATCAATTGTGGCAATGTTTCATGAGATGCTTTCAGAAAGAAAAACCTAACAAAAGTAGATAGTAGATAGGTAGTTGAGTGTATGCCTCGATAGTTTAACTGAAAGAAGTACGACGACTGCAGCGAGGTAAGGCTTGATTGAATAGTAGATACAATGGGGTCTTTGATGGAGATGTACTGTGTTGATGCTGTAGGTCAGACAATCGGATATGAGCATGATCAAGCGCTTGATCAGTTTAAGCTTCCTTGTCCTTTGAAGCTATATGGTAGATCACCTCGGAGATGTTCAGTGGCTGGATGTCGAGTGGGCATTTCAGAGGAATAGGGTCGGCTGAGTTGTTCCCTCTATCTGATCGCTAAAGGAAAGCCTCGTCGGTGGTCTTTGGATCTTCGTATGTTTGTAGAGGTCTTCTCTTGAGTATTTGACTTCCATTGACCACGGTGAGCCGGTCCGTTTTGGTCGGTGTACAATTCGGTTGTGCGTTGTGAGTAAGTACAAACGCTCATGATGAGAGATGAAGGTTGTTGTCCTTTGTTGTCGGATTGGATCAAGAATGGCTTGAACGGCTTGATGTCGCACCGCAAAGGCGAAATCGGCCGCTGTCGCAACCTGTTCACAACCTGTCGCACCTTCGAGGGTCCTGTCGCAGTACATGTCAGACGGTCGCATGTCAGTTTTGGCTATGTAGCATACACATGTCGCTACACCCCGTGTGAAGCGTCCTGTCGTCGCAAACCCGGATGCGACGGGCTTTTGCCCACGGTGTTATGGAAAAGAGAGTCCGAACGGGTATATGACCCGCTTGTACATTTAGCTGGTGCCTCATCCTTCACCTTTTTAAGAACGAATGGTCCTTTTGTGATATAACTAATTTCCATCAAATCCAAGCAAGCCTCACCAGCTACATAGAGACATTGGCCACTGAGCAGAAACACATTTGTGGCAATTGTGATCTTCATAAGGCAAACGGACATCATTCCTCTTGACTCCACAACGACACCGCCTATTGTTTTAAGTTTTCATCTGAGCAGATCTAATCACATTTGCAGTCAGATTAAACAAACCAAAGTGGTGATCAATAAGCTTGTCAAGGTCAACTACGGTTGGAACTCAGTGCATAGGCTCCCGGGCCAACATAACTGCTTTGATCTCCACCTAGCTGCTAGGTCATTTCGTAGTTAAATCTGGATCAGCCAATTCTATTCTAGTTTTGACCAGATTAATCTCTTTTTCTTCGTTGCGCTAAACACTTTTCATATTTCATTTTTGACCGACTTAGCTTAAACATTTGAATACAGACTTGAAAGGCAGCTCATTTTCTACGTACCTGATGGCTTATGGATAGAGATGGAAATGAAATGGTTTGGACTAAGATGAAACAGTAGCGTGGAATGTGTGATGGATTTGTAGGCCCTTATGAGACTTTTTCTGTATAAATACCGTCTTTGTATAGCCTTGTATTTCTTTCTTCACTTACTCATCTCGCTATTTCTGATTTCGTCCACAACCTTCCTAAACTTTCCACTCTCACATCGTCAGGTGTGTATTCTCTGCTTGTTGTCGATAATTCCAACAAAGCATTATCTTAACACTAGCGCTTTTAGGTGTGTATTCTCTGCTTGTTGTCGATAATTCCAACAAAGCATTATCTTAACACTAGCGCTTTTAGCCCATATTTTGGTTTTTGCCACTTTCTGCCCCTTCCAGATTCAGGAGCATACGAAACATTATCAGTACTCTACTCTTTAACAAATGTCGAATTCAGCTCCTGCTTTGCCACATAGACAATCCGGAAAAATGCCATCGACCAGTTTCCCTTCAAACTCCGGCCTTACTTCAGCTGTGACTGCGTTAGCTGCAGCTCCAGCTGGAATGCGAATGCAACTTACGGACACTAATTATGCCGTCTGGACTACGTGGATGGAGAGCGAATTGGACAATTTAGGAATTTGGAATGTTGTGGATCAATCTTATGTCTTACAGGAAGACCCGCCCGCTGAAGATCTTGTTAATTATTCAAAGCTCGAACGGAAAGCATACAACTTTATTGTTTGACATTTGGACGAAAACAATTTAGCTTTGGCCACCCAATTTGCTGCCAAGGCATCTTCTAAAACTGGTGCTGGTCTCTGG